CACACACACACACACACACACACACACACACACACAGAGAGATAATGAAAAGTTGATGCTGAAAATGTGTCTTTTTGCTATTGTCTTAATTTAAAATAATACTAATTTTAACAGTGCAGTTCCCTGTGACAAACTACACTACCCATGATCCCTCAGAGAAATATCCACCAATCATAGAATTGCAGCAAACAACTGGTGCCAAAAAAGCTCTGCAGTGACCACCCACTTTCATAAAGCACTGCCAATGACTTAATCAGGTCTCTATACTTGTAAACTAGCATACACATGGTTAACTTCAACTGCACTGTTTCTATAAATCAGTAGTTTTTGTTTTTTAAATAGTTTTTAATTTTATTATGTTGTTCACAGTGTTTTATACTGCACGTCTTGTATCAGTCAGTGGTTTCTTTGTGTTCCTCTAAATGCAGAAATCTGTGTAGCCTCTGCAGTAATGCATTTCTCATGTAGCAACATTTGCATTGAGCACTTTAATGTCCGCAGTTCATTTGAAAGCAGTTCAGGCAATATTTCCTTATTACTTGGCTGTCACTAATGGCCCTCTTGTTCTATTTTCTGAGCCCATTCCATTCACACACAAACTCATTTTCTCCCTTTTGAACTGTCTGTCTTTCTGTCTCTCTCTCTCTGTGTCTCTGGTGACTCAGCAAAGGCAGGTGACCACTCTCCTCCATGAAGCAGCAGCTCTAATGGTTGTCATTGATTTACTCGCTCTCAGTCTCTTGCTCAGTTTAAATGAGAGTGTGCTTTAAATGTGAGTGTGTGACTTTAGTGTGTGAGTGTGCAGTTTATAGAGGTGTGAGTCTGTCAGTCTCACAGTCTAACAAGCATTCACCATAGCAAACATATTCTCTGCCAAAAGTTATTACAGTTATTGATACTCTAAAGCCATGACCCTAACTACTAAACTAGCATGTAACCCGTCACACTCTATTAGCATTATGGAAATGGAGGATACCTGGTATGTTATGGTATGGAATTATGGTAAATTATAATGGAACTGAATTTTAACGGTAGTTTATGTTTTCAATATTTTTTTTGTTTCTTATTTATTGAAAGTAGTTTGCAGATTGGGCAACAAATACCCTTGTGAAAAATAAGCACACTTTAGCATACGATTTAAAAAGAATATGTATTATGGAAATAATATACTAAGTGCAAACTGAATGTAATATTTTCAAACTCTTAGATGCAAGTAAATTTTAAATAAATGAAAATGTATTATAGCTTAATCTTTTGTGGAATGAACTTAAGACTTTTGCTGCATTTCTGATTCCCTTAAGTAGGACTTAAATACATCTTAATATGTAATTTCATAATTACTTCTGTTGTCTTTGAAATATGGTTAAAGTGAACTACTGAATGTACTGACAAGCATGTATGATAAACTAAAATATACTTTAATGTAATTTCTATTCAAACGTGTACATCTTGTATTTAAATGAGTGTTGTCAAGTGATTAAAATGTTTAATCTAATTAATTACATTATGTGCCGATTATCTAATTAATCACACATCAATTTGGGCGGAGAAGTTACCCCCCCAAAGATCATTTAAAGTCATTGCTGTGTTGAATAAGAAAAGCATTGAATAGAGATTACAGAAAAGCTGATGATGAGTCAACATTGAAAAAAAAAATGAATATTGAAATATGAAATTATTACTATTATTATTTTAATGAAATTATACTCTAAATATGAAACTAAGGTGGTGGCAAGTCACTATTTGAATGAGATTAGGGCTGCACGATTATGACAAAAATCATAATTGTCGATTATTCCCTTGAAATTGTAATTGCGATTTATTAATTACGATTATCACAATTTACATTGAATTATGTTTATACCATTGTTTGATGCAACTGCATGCCGTATTTTTATATGAAAATAAACAAGCTGAAAACACTCTAACTGAAAAACCTTTAGTGCTTTTCTATAGTATTAAGCCTCAAATGTCAACTAAACATCGGCTTGGTTTCTGCTTTAAATGATAAAATAGTAAAAATATTAATGGTATTATAATGTTATACTAAAATTAAAATAATGGGGAAAACCCTTAAGATAACATGTAGAAAGGAAAAAACGCATCTTAAGCGTGCAGAATAACATAAGTGGACTTTGTACGATTAATTGCCGCTTTGAACGATTACGTAATTGTGGCATCCATAATTGTAATCGCGATTAGAAATTTGATTAATTGTGCAGCCCTAAACGAGATAATAGATTCGTTCAAATGGCTGATTCATTCAGGAACGAAGCAAGTGACTGTCTTTATGAATGAGTCACTGAATCATTGACTCACACGATTCGTTCAAAACCACAGATTCAGTACAGTTTTGTTGAGGCTTTGTTTGGAACTATGTTCGTTTGTTGAAATGTAGCAAACACAGACAATCCTGACAATATTGTGTCTTAAATGTTTATTGTTTGTTGAACTGTTGTATAAAATCAATATCACATTTGCAATCGTGCAGATATTCTTACTCGTATGATATCGCTAAACTATATCATATAAGACAAAAACCCATACAGAGATATTTTGCCCTCATATCTTGGATTTTAAAGGGGTCATATGATGCGATTTCAAGTTTTCCTTTCTCTTTGGAGTGTTACAAGCTGTTCGTGAATAGATAAGATCCCTGAAGTTGCAAAGACTAAAGTCTCAAAACCAAAGAGATATTCTTTATCAAAGTTAAGACTCTGCCACGCCCCCCTAAAACGGCTCGTTTTAACACGCCCCCACATATCTACCTCACTATGTGGAAATATTTGCATAATGCCGCCCAAATGTGCACGCAAAGAAAGAAAGCGTGGTTTCAGTAACCGCAGTTAGTGTTGAAGCAGCCATGTCAGGGAGACGCTGTGTGTTTCTAGGTGAAAGCAAAAGCACTTTATTTGGCCTTCCGAAAGTAGATGCATTTAGGAATCTTTAAGATTACTTACAACAGAACAGCAATGCATTTTATGGACGACCGTTTCGTGAACCTAGGAGAGGAGGTAATTCTGACTTTGCTATGACAATCTGGCGCTTCTGAATCAGCTACTGTTTTGTTATTAGTTTAAGTATTTGCTTTTGACTGTTCAAATGCGGAGTTTTGTGCATCCTGTGTGTGTGTGCGCGAGAGAGAAAGAGAGAGAGAGCGCGAGAGAGAGAGAGGCTGGCCAATCAGAGCAGACTGCGCTTGTCGGAAGGAGGGACTTTGTAGAAAACGAAGCGTTTGAGAGAGGCGGGGCATAGAGGACCTACAATAATGTACAGTATTTGAAAAATAATGTGTTTTTTGAACATTAAAGCATGTCAACATATTCTGTTACACCAAATACACAAAATAATGATCTTTAAAAAAGCATCATATGACCCCTTTAAGGCATATTCTAATAGGTTACATCACACAGTCAGTCGTCATCCTGCATCTAGTTTGCCATTCAGCAACTGTGTGCAATGTAAGATGTCGTATACAAGTCTGAGTGGGGTGGAGGAGCTCAGCCAATCAGAATCAAGCAATGGAATTATCAGTTTTATAAAATAAAGTTTATTCTATTTTTGTTTTCTTAGGTTAACCTCCTGAGACCCAGAAAAACAATTTTAGGAAAAAATTCATATTTTTTATGTCATTACATTGTTTAGAGCATAAGAAAAAAATGTAAAGATTTTTTTGAAAAATGATATTTCATTCATATGTTATGCTACCAGGGCTCAATTAAAATAAAAATAAATAAATAAATAAAAAGACATGAAGGAACATGCATAGGCAAAAACAATGGATTTAAAAAAAAATCACCAATACATTTTTAAGTTTCAGGATTTTTTTTATACTAAACTTTGTATAAAGATTATTCTGAACTATGTTATAACAGAATTATTTGATATACCATTTTTCTTTATGCAAAATGTGTGTAAAATGCCCATAAACGGGTTTTCTCATGTATCCATAAACTGTATCTAATTTGCATATTAATGTGTTTTTGGGGCAACATGTCATGAAAAAAGAAGTATAATAATGGGAGTAATAATTGACAAGATTACCAAGATTACTAATATTTCATAGGAATATTGAAATATATTTTCCTTTCCTATTCATTTGTTGTGTCTCCCAAAATGTGTAATAAACATGCTTTTAGTCCAGTGTCCTCACATGAGGACATGTAAGAAATCAACGTCCTGTTTCGTAACAGAAAGCCATATTTTGATTTGAAACCCCATAACATTTTCCTGAGATGTTGATTTATGACAAACAGTTTCAAAATTAGTCAGATTTAAATGATAATTAAAAAAATATTATCATATTTCCATAAGAGTGTCACTAAATTAATATCAGCCATTTTTGAAGACCAAGGAGAGGGAGTGGTCATGGCGAAACATCCAAACATTTAGTATCTCTGAAAAGCCCTGAATGTGCTCTGTACAGGACATACAGACTTACAACTGTGGCATGTATAGTCTCAGAGAAATTCACTAAAATATAATGTCCTCATATGAGGATGCAGGGTCTCAGGAGCATCACCACAACACTACGTAGGACAATCGGTTTGGAAAATGGATGGATAGATGTTTTATTAGCAATAGTAGAAGATACTGTGATAGTTGAATCATCTACTTACCCTGACAGACGGTGCAGGGGTTTACACAAAGGTCCTCTGACTGACCCGCGTTATGTTTGTAGCATCTGTATTATAAAAAAGTAATAGTTAGAAGACCAGCCCTCCATGAAAACTGCACATCTTGGTTTGTTATTGTATTGCTTTTGTGCTTCTTATCTCATATGTCCCTGAATTCCCCCAATATTAATTTGTCATTTTATATGTAGGTAATGTGGGTATGCAACCTGTGCCGAAAACAACAAGAAATCCTCACCAAGTCGGTAGCGTGGTTCTACAGCAGTCCTGAGGGCTCCAGATCAGGGCCCCAAGCCAAAATAAGGGGAGGCCCAGTCGGAGCAAACCAGGACCCTCTCAGAAACGGTTCAGGGATCCCAGGCAGGTCAGAAACTCCTACCTTATTCCCCTTACTTGTCCTCAGACAGTGTAAAATGTTGCGCAGTTCAGCATTGTGTGGGTCTGATGTTGTGAGAAGGCTTTTAAGTTGGTCTCAGTTAGAATGCTTTGAGGATCATTTGTTATAAATTTGAGATTCAAGAGTTATTTTTAGAGTGGAAATGACTCAAATCAAGCATTTTTATTATTGATGTAATTCATATGAACGAAAACAGACCTCACTGCTGTTGCATGCATGTTTGTTATCGTCTCAGAGAAATTAGCAAAGTGCAATATGATACATTTTTCCATTTAAGGATTTCTTCACCATTTTCTCAGGATATTTCTCATTTGATATGTGATAATTAAGAATATCACTCAAAGCAGCATTAATAAACAGGAAACTGCAAACATTTGAGATCTTTGTAATATTCAGCCACACCCATGCATTGAGGGTTTTGAAGGAGCTCCTTAATTCTCTTCTGCGACAGTTATCTTGGCTATCCGGTTAACACTTTCTTATTCAAAGCAGCATTCAGTTTACAGTGACGGTTGCATCAGAGGTACTTAAAGGGGTCATTTGATGCTGCTAAAAATAACATTATTTGGTGTATTTGGTGTAATGCAATGTGTTTATGCGGTTTAAGGTAAAAAAAAAAACACATTATTTTCCACATACTGTACATTATTGTTTCTCCTCTATGCCCCGCCTTTCTGAAACGCGTCAATTTTTACAAAGCTCATCGGTCTAAAAAAGCGAGGTATGCCCTGATTGGCCAGCTATCCAGTGCGTTGTGATTGGCCGAATACCTCAAGCGTGTGACGGAAATGTTACGCCCCTTACCATACTGTGATGCCCTGTCCGGCCGGAGCGACGAGACAAAAACATTAAAACCCATTATAAGCGAGGCATTTGTTGCATCCAGTGGGGACATAATTACTGATTATAATGACTTATACTGTCTTTTTACGCGTTGCGTTGCATCGCACCGCACCGCGTAAACATAGAACCATGTCTGCATTTGTGATTGGAGAAATGACAAACTACAAGCCTACTCTACACTGTCCAAAACTCGTGTTTGAATCGTCAGTGGCACATTCTTTAAATATAAAAAATGTACTTACAGGCTGTGAGTCAGAAGCGCCAGACTGTCCTTGCAAATTTGGAACTGCCCAACTTTATAGAACAGCCTTTGTGCCACAGATGCATTAGGCTACTTGTAAATACAACTTAACCACTGATTTCTAGTCGTGTCCTCTTTTGTAAGACCAAACAAACTAGTTTTGCTTTCACAACGAATCACACAGTGTCTTCACGACATGGCGGCGGCGGCAACCATGCTACAACGAGAATAAAAGTTACGCCTTCTGTGGGGGTGTGTTTAAACGAGGCGTTTTAGGTAGGCGTGGTTGACTCTTAACTTTTATAAAGGATATCTCTTTGGATTTGAGACTTTAGTCTTTGCAACTTTACAGATCTTCTTTATGCACCAAGAGCTTGTAACACTCCAAAGAGAAAGGAAAACTTGAAATCGCATCATATGACCCCTTTAAGGTTAAAACTAATGGATATGGATTTTGCAGTAACTTCATTGTTACATTTTAAGAAGTGAATGTGAGTGATACCCGCTTGTGCTCAGCTCTCTGCTACTGTACTAGGATGTTGTGATTAATATGTGGTTGCTTGTCAGTATTATTACGATTATTCTGAAATGACCTTTCTGAAAAAGGTACAGCATACTTTTTAAAAGAGTACTTATTACAGAAATAATATAGTTTAAAGGAATCTTCTTAAGTGTGAACTGAATATAATGTTTTTGGATAATTAATTGCATTAAAATGTATTATAGTTTAAATTTATATTAAATGCAGTTATTTAAAATTAAAGTACTCCCCCCTCCAAAATGAAAATTCTGTCATCATTTGAGTTTATTTCTTCTTTTGACCACAAACGAAGATATTTTGAAGAATGTTGGTAATTAAACATATGTTGGCCCCAGTTGACTTCCATAGTAGGAAAAAAATACTATGGAAGTCAATGGCGACCATCAACTGTTTGATTACCAGCATTCTTCATAATATCTTCTTTTGTCTTTAACATAAGAAAGAAGTTCATACAGGTTTGGAACGACATGAGGGTGAGTAAATAATGACACAATTTTCATTTTGGAGTGAACTATTCCACAAGTGCACATTCAATACAAGTAAGCACAATTTTTTCACAAGGGTAAAAAATACTGCACAATGCTTAGGGTTAGAAGTGGGTTGCTTTGCATAATAATAGTACTAGTGATGCTAACAACCTTCATGACTTAACCAGATATTTCACTACTAAGCTACAGGCAGCAATACCCATTATCTCTGGCCTGACTCATAAAATGGACTAGAGATCCCGTCAGACTCTTTTCAGCAGATCATTAGGGGCTGTTAGTGGTCCAGGAACTAATGAGGAAAGTGCACTGACTACACAGGCCACATCAGCGTCAGACAGACTCACATATTGAGCTCAGATAGATGATGGGAGTCATTCATTAAATCAGTAATTCATTTTTTCAGCACGTTTGACTGCTCAAATTTTCAACATATTATTCCATCTAGTACTTGCGTAGTTGGAATGGGACGCATGAGATGGAGCAGTTCCATCTGATCTGTTGTAATTGTCGGTACATATGCATCAGATACATTTCTTTGGCTGTTTCATTGCATCTTGCTGTTTTTTTCTGTGTCAGAAACATCATATTTGTCATGTCTCAATGTTCTGCTTCATTCAGCTGTGCTCAGCTGTTTTTGAATGCAAACACACACAACATCCTTCCAATACTTAAAGTGACCACTTACAGTGCCTCTATATTACTGTTGCAGACAAAACACCACCATATTGAAGGAGTAGTTCACACAAAAATTTAAATTAGTTGAAAACGTGCTCACCCTCAGGCCACCCTAGATGTAGATAAGTTTGTTTCTTCATGGGAACAGATTTGGAGAAATGTAGCATTACGTCACTTGCTCACCAATGGATGCTCTGCAGTGAATGGGTGCCGTCAGAATGAGAGTCCAAACAGCTGATAAAAACATCACAATAATCCACACCACTCCAGTCCATCAGTTAACAACTTGAGAAGAGAAGAGCTGCATGTTTGTAAGAAACAAATCCATCGAGAGTGTTTTTAAAGGGATAGTTCACCCAAAAATGAAAATTGTGTCATTATTTACTCACCCTCCAAGATGTAGCTGTCTTTTTTCTTCAATAGATAAGTAAAAAAATTTAACTGAAACTGTGGTCCTTAGTGATTCATAAAATGCAAGTCAGAGGCTGCTCATCTTTGAGAATTAAAAAAAACATATCAAAGACACCTGACGATATATTAAGGTCTTGTGAAGCAAAACAATCAGTCTGTGCAAAAAAACTGAATATTATTTACGACATTATTACCTGTTAATCCAGAGCCTCAGGCAAACATCTGTAGTGATGTCCAGTTTGAGAACAAATCGTTCTTTTGAACCAGTGAGTTGAACCATAATCGTCTGAATAATCTGAAACAGTTCGTGGCTCGAGTAGCACAGATCTGCAAGTTACTCAATCAAAACTCACTTTCAGATGCCTGACAGTCACTGCGACTCGAAATCAGCCAAAATACCGGTATATATAATCCTATGATGCTGTTTTTGCCAACTCATTCAGCACACAAGTTCCTCCAACTGTCACTGAACTAAACCGAAGACCAATGAGCTGCTGATATGCGCATATGTGAACCGAGCACTTGAATGAAAGGGCCAAATGAAAATTGTTATGGTTTCTCATTGTTTATGTAAAAAGGTGAGCTGATGAAGAAAAGTTCACTTTGCTTTAGACATGTGACACACGTAGCACACAAGTTCCTCCAACTGTCACTGAACTAAACCGAAGACCAATGAGCTGCTGATATGCGCATATGTGAACCGAGCACTTGAATGAAAGGGCCAAATGAAAATTTTTATGGTTTTTCATTGTTTATGTAAAAAGGTGAGCAGATGAAGAAAAGTTCACTTTGCTTTAGACATGTGACACACGTTTCACATCATTATTGGGTGCTTAAATAATAATTGTGCAGGGCTCGCAAAATTTCAAAATCCCTGGTAGGCATTCTTCAGATTTTGGTAGCCCCTAAATGAATTTAACTAGCCCGAATAAACGATATTATATTTTTTCTTCAAATAACAAGTCAAGAGAGTAGGGGTGCAACGGATCACAAATCTCACGGTTCGGATTATATTACATTATCATATCACATTTTGAGTCACAGATCGGATCATTTTTCAGATGAGCAAAAAAAGGTGGTTCTTTATTATTGAAGTAACACTTATTATTTAAAGAACAATTTACTACTTCGATACCACAGCAAAAACTAGTAGCATATAGGGATGTAACGATTCACTCAACTCACGATGTGATATGATTCACAATACTGATTTCACAATACAATTTTCTCACAATTTCTTTAACAAAATGAGATTTAAGACATTTTAAAAAATGTGTCCTTTTGTTATTTCTCAGACCAAAAGGCTGCACATTACTTTGTGAAATTGAAAATGTCAAACAATATACTAACTTGAAATTTGAAAACAAATCCCAAATCAAATAAATAAATAATACAAATAAAAGAAATTTCTCCATGCAAGTAAACCAAGGTTCCCCTTCAGGAACTCGAGCTGCGTCGAGATTCGCTTTATGGTTATTTTGAGATAATTTTGCGTGTATGTGTCCGTTCAAGCGAAAGAGGAATCAATTCTGTGTTTGTGCTCTGCCTGAAACGCCGCTCTGTATATTGTGCGCGCTTTGAGCGTGTGCGCGCAAGCACCGAACTGAATTCTTCATGCGCATGAATGGTTTAAAACGCTTGAATGTTTAAATTGGTAAGACTTAGAAACACGTGTAAATGATTAGGGCTGGGCAAAAAATTCGATTTTCTGATTAATCGTTTTTTTAAATGACGTCAATTCGATATCAAAAAATCGAGAATCGAATCG